TGCTATCATGCTTCTCCCATATACCACCTGCTATCATGCTTCTCCCATCTTCCACCTGCTATCATGCTTCTCCCATCTTCCACCTGCTATCATGCTTCTCCCATCTAGCACCTGCTATCATGCTTCTCCCATCTACCACCTGCTATCATGCTTCTCCCATCTACCACCTGCTATCATGCTTCTCCCATCTTCCACCTGCTATCATGCTTCTCCCATCTAGCATCTGCTATCATGGTTCTCCCATCTACCACCTGCTATCATGCTTCTCCCATATACCACCTGCTATCATGCTTCTCCCATCTTCCACCTGCTATCATGCTTCTCCCATCTACCACCTGCTATCATGCTTCTCCCATCTACCACCTGCTATCATGCTTCTCCCATCTACCACCTGCTATCATGCTTCTCCCATCTACCACCTGCTATCATGCTTCTCCCATCTACCTCCTGCTATCATGCTTCTCCCATCTTCCACCTGCTATCATGCTTCTCCCATCTACCACCTGCTATCATGCTTCTCCCATCTACCACTTGCTATCATGCTTCTCCCATCTTCCACCTGCTATCATGCTTCTCCCATATACCACCTGCTATCATGCTTCTCCCATCTTCCACCTGCTATCATGCTTCTCTCATATACCACCTGCTATCATGCTTCTCCCATATACCACCTGCTATCATGCTTCTCCCATATACCACTTGCTATCATGCTTCTCCCATCCACTATTAGAAGTTTTTTTTTGTCCTGGCATTATTTTTGTTTTAGTTTTATTACTTGTAACTCTAATGTTATCTTTATCTCCTTGTCTTCTTCTTCTGCAACTTCCACGTCCTCCTTCTTGTCGCTTTTCTCTTCTTATCTCTTCTTCATCATTTCATATTCTCTTCTTCTTCGTCATTTCCTCTTATCTATTATTCACCTTATCTCTTGCTGTCGTGCTTTTCCTTTTCTCCTCTCCCTTCTGTTTTCCCTCCCCCTTTTCCTCTCCTCATCTTTCTCTTCATTCTCCTCGTCATCCGTTTCTCCCCTTCGTGTCCTGCGTTTGATATTAGCACCTCTCTCCCCCTTTTTTACATTCAATAAATCTTCAAAATTCTCCTTCCATCTCCTCTCTCTCTCTCTCTCTCTCTCTCTCTCTCTCTCTCTCTCTCTCTCTCTCTCTCTCTCTCTCTCTCTCTCTCTCTCTCTCTCTCTCTCTCTCTCCTGATTCCCATTTTCCACCTTCCCCTCCTGTGTTTATTCATTTACCACATTCTTCTCAGTCTCTTGTGGTCATCGTCCTTCACCTCTGTTGCATGACTGAAAATTATTCAACGAAAATTAGAACCAAATCCCTGCTAGGCTGCTCTTCCCACTGGTAAAGGTGGATCATTTATTTTTCCAAAATTACGTTAATATGTTTATGTAAATGGATTTTTGTCTACTTTATGATCAGCATTTATTTTTGCGGAGAAGTCGTTTAAGAATGTGAAATTGGGCTGAAGAATGCGCTTAAGGTGGAAAGCCTAAATGGGCTTTGGTATCGGAGTGACCTTGGAGATGACGGAGGAAGCCTGAAGTAGCCTTGGAGGTGGCGGAGGAAGCCTGAAGTAGCCTTGGAGGTGGCGCAGGAAGCCTGAAGTAGCCTTGGAAGTGACCCAGGAAGCCTGAAGTAGCCTTGGAGATGACCCAGGAAGCCTGAAGTAGCCTTGGAGATGACTCAGGAAGCCTGAAGTAGCTTTGGAGGTGACACAGGAAGCCTGAAATAGCCTTGGAGATAACGCAGGAAGCCTGGGGTAGCCGTAAAGGTGACGCAGAAAGGGGTAAAGAGCTGCGGAAAAAGGGGAGCTTCTTGAGTTGGAAGCATGAGAGGGGTGAGTGTGTGTACCCCGGACGGTGTTGGAACTCAACTCTCGAAATGAGGAAGCCAAAAAATCTGTTCAAAGTGCGAGGCTTCCAGAGAAAGTTACCAGCAAGGGATCACGACTAAGCACTGCTCTGAGGGAGGAAACGTAATGAAAGCTTCGCAATTTACCTGTGACTTTGCCGAATTGTAAGAAAGTACGGAACAAAAGTCCGTAGGAGAGAGAGAGAGAGAGAGAGAGAGAAAGAGAGCGAGACAAATAATTAGTGAAAAAGAGAGATAGGGAGATACAGAGAAAGAGAGATTAAAAAAATCGTCTTTATTGATGATTATAAGGTAAAATAGACCTTTAAAAATAGATATTTGAACCTGTAGGGGTTTGGTCATATATAACAAGAGATACAGAGAGAAATGTGTCTTCAAGTAAGGAATTGAGGGGACACATCAGCATGATACAGGACACACTGACAACACATGTAACATCGCGACACAGGACACACTGACAACACATGTAACATCGCGACACAGGACACACTGACAACACATGTAACATCGCGACACAGGACACACTGACAACACATGTAACATCGCGACACACATACTCTTCAGCAGTCTGGAATTATGTACAAACTAAATGTTGTTTAAAAGGGTAAGAGAGCAGCAGCCGAAGTGGTTAAACAAGTGAAGGAAATGAATGAAGAGATGATGCCTGAGTGCATGTAATAACGGAGTGAGGGGACGGTCTAATGTGAGGGGACGGTCTAAGGTGAGGGGACGGTCTAAGGTGAGGGGACGGTCTAAGGTGAGGGGACGGTCTAAGGTGAGGGGGCGGTCTAAGGTGAGGGGAAGGTCTAAGGTGAGGGGACGGTCTAAGGTGAGGGGAAGGTCTAAGGTGAGGGGGCGGTCTAAGGTGAGGGGAAGGTCTAAGGTGAGGGGACGGTCTAAGGTGAGGGGAAGGTCTAAGGTGAGGGGACGGTCTAAGGTGAGGGGAAGGTCTAAGGTGAGGGGACGGTCTAAGGTGAGGGGAAGGTCTAAGGTGAGGGGAAGGTCTAAGGTGAGGGGAAGGTCTAAGGTGAGGGGAAGGTCTAAGGTGAGTGGAAGGACTAAGGTGAGGGGACGGTCTAAGGTGAGGGGAAGGTCTAAGGTGAGGGGACGGTCTAAGGTGAGGGGAAGGTCTAAGGTGAGGGGACGGTCTAAGGTGAGGGGAAGGTCTAAGGTGAGGGGAAGGTCTAAGGTGAGGAGACCGTCTAAGGTGAGGGGAAGGTCTAAGGTGAGGGGACGGTCTAAGGTGAGGGGACGGTCTAAGGTGAGGGGAAGGTCTAAGGTGAGGGGACGGTCTAAGGTGAGGGGAAGGTCTAAGGTGAGGGGACGGTCTAAGGTGAGGGGACCGTCTAAGGTGAGGGGAAGGTCAAAGGTGAGGGGACGGTCTAAGGTGAGGGGAAGGTCTAAGGTGAGGGGAAGGTCTAAGGTGAGGGGAAGGTCTAAGGTGAGGGGAAGGTCTCAGGTGAGGGAAAGGGCTAAGGTGAGGGGAAGGTCTGAGGCGAGGGGAAGGTCTAAGGTGAGGGGAAGGTCTAAGGCGAGGGGAAGGTCTGAGGCGAGGGGAAGGTCTGAGGTGAGGGGAAGGTCTAAGGTGAGGGGAAGGTCTAAGGTGAGGGGAATGTCTGAGGTGAGGGGAAGGTCTGAGGCGAGGGGAAGGTCTGAGGCGAGGGGAAGGTCTGAGGAGAGGGGAAGGTCTGAGGCGAGGGTAAGGTCTGAGGTGAGGGGAAGGTCTAAGGTGAGGGGAAGGTCTGAGGTGAGGGTAAGGTCTGAGGTGAGGGGAAGGTCTAAGGTGAGGGGAAGGTCTGAGGTGAGGGGAAGGTCTAAGGTGAGGGTAAGGTCTGAGGTGAGGGGAAGGTCTAAGGTCAGGGAAGGTCTAAGGTCAGGGGAAGGTCTGAGGTGAGGGTAAGGTCTGAGGTGAGGGGAAGGTCTAAGGTCAGAGGAAGGTCTAAGGTCAGGGGAAGGTCTGAGGTGAGGGTAAGGTCTGAGGTGAGGGGTAGGTCTAAGGTCACGGGAAGGTCTAAGGTCAGGGGAAGGTCTGAGGTGAGGGTAAGGTCTGAGGTGAGGGGAAGGTCTAAGGTCAGGGAAGGTCTAAGGTCAGGGAAGGTCTGAGGTGAGGGTAAGGTCTGAGGTGAGGGGAAGGTCTGAGGTGAGGGAAAGGTCTGAGATGAGGGGAAGGTTGCAGGTGAGGGGGAAGGTTGCAGGTGAGGGGAAGGTTACAGGTGAGGGGAAGGTTACAGGTGAGGGGAAGGTTACAGGTGAGGGGAAGGTTACCGGTGAGGGAGAAGGTTGCAGGTGAGGGGAAGGTTACAGGAGAGGGGAAGGTTACAGGTGAGGGAGAAGGTTACAGGTGAGGGGATGGTTGCAGGTGAGGGAGGTTACAGGTGAGGGGAAGGTTGCAGGTGAGGTGAAGGTTACAGGAGAGGGGGGAGAGGGGAAGGTTACAGGTGAGTGGAAGCTTGCGGGCGAGGGGAAGGTTGCAGGTGAGGGGAAGGTTACAGGTGAGGGGAAGGTTACAGGTGAGGGGAAGGTTACAGGTGAGGGGAAGGTTACTGGTGAGGTGAAGGTTGCGGGTGAGGGGAACGTTACAGGTGAGGGGGAACGTTACAGGTGAGGGGGAACGTTACAGGTGAGGGAGAAGGTTACAGGTGAGGGGAAGAATGGTGTTGAAGGGTAGGTCATAGGTGAGTGAAATGTTGGGATCGACGGAGATAAGGGGAAGGTCGTCGGTGAGGGGAAAACAAGAGTTGAATGGAAGGATGGTAGTGAGGGGAAAGTCAGAAGTGAGGGGAAAGGTTAGAGATGAGGAAAATGTCAGAAATGAGGGTAAGAAAGTAGGTAAATCAGAAGTGAGGAGAAGGCTGAAGATGATAGGAAGGTTAGGAGAGAGGGAAAAGTTGGCGATGAAGGTAGGTAAGATATTGGGGCAAGGCTCGGGGTGTGAGAAAGGTAGGAGAGGGGAAAATGGGAGTTCAGGGAAAGGATGAAGCTGAGGGTAAGATCGGAGTTGAAGGGAAGGTTGAAGATGAAGGTAAAGATGGAAAGGAGAGTGAGTGATCTTTAAGGGGTAGGAGGGAGTGAATAGGGAGCTCTTAAAGTGCATAGGCTTGGGGTCTGCCCATGACACGAGACCCCATGACACAAGATCCCATGACACGAGACCCCATGACACAAGACCCCATGACACGAGACCCCATGACACGAGACCCCATGACACGAGACCCCATGACACAAGATCCCATGACACGAGACCCCATGACACAAGATCCCATGACACAAGATCCCATGACACGAGACCCCATGACACGAGACCCCATGACACGAGATCCCATGACACGAGACCCCATGACACGAGACCCCATGACACGAGACCCCATGACACGAGATCCCATGACACAAGATCCCATGACACAAGATCCCATGACACGAGACCCCATGACACGAGACCCCATGACACGAGATCCCATGACACGAGACCCCATGACACGAGGCCCCATGACACGAGACCCCATGACACGAGACCCCATGTCACAAGATCCCATGACACGAGACACCATGACACGAGACCCCATGACACGAGACCCCATGACACAAGATCCCATGACACGAGACCCCATGACACAAGATCCCATGACACGAGACCCCATGACACAAGATCCCATGACACAAGATCCCATGACACAAGATCCCATGACACAAGATCCCATGACACGAGACCCCATGACACGAGACCCCATGACACGAGATCCCATGACACGAGACCCCATGACACGAGACCCCATGACACGAGACCCCATGACACGAGACCCCATGACACGAGACCCCATGACACAAGATCCCATGACACAAGATCCCATGACACGAGACCCCATGACACGAGACCCCATGACACGAGATCCCATGACACGAGACCCCATGACACGAGATCCCATGACACAAGATCCCATGACACAAGATCCCATGACACGAGACCCCATGACACAAGATCCCATGACACAAGATCCCATGACACGAGACCCCATGACACGAGACCCCATGACACGAGACCCCATGACACGAGATCCCATGACACAAGATCCCATGACACAAGATCCCATGACACGAGATCCCATGACACGAGACCCCATGACACGAGACCCCATGACACGAGATCCCATGACACAAGATCCCATGACACAAGATCCCATGACACAAGATCCCATGACACGAGACCCCATGACACGAGACCCCATGACACGAGATCCCATGACACGAGACCCCATGACACGAGACCCCATGACACGAGACCCCATGACACGAGACCCCATGACACGAGACCCCATGACACGAGACCCCATGACACAAGATCCCATGACACGAGACACCATGACACGAGACCCCATGACACGAGACCCCATGACACAAGATCCCATGACACGAGACCCCATGACACGAGACCCCATGACACGAGATCCCATGACACAAGATCCCATGACACAAGATCCCATGACACGAGACCCCATGACACGAGACCCCATGACACGAGATCCCATGACACGAGACCCCATGACACGAGACCCCATGACACAAGATCCCATGACACAAGATCCCATGACACGAGACCCCATGACACGAGACCCCATGACACGAGATCCCATAACACGAGACCCCATGACACGAGACCCCATGACACGAGATCCCATGACACGAGACCCCATGACACGAGACCCCATAACACGAGACCCCATGACACGAGATCCCATGACACGAGACCCCATGACACAAGATCCCATGACACGAGACCCCATGACACGAGACCCCATGACACAAGATCCCATGACACGAGACCCCATGACACGAGACCTCATGTCACAAGATCCCATGACACGAGACACCATGACACGAGACCCCATGACACGAGACCCCATGACACAAGATTCCATGACACGAGACCCCATGACACAAGATCCCATGACACGAGACCCATGACACGAGACCCCATGACACGAGATCCCATGACACGAGACCCCATGACACGATACCCCAGGTGAACCACCACCCACCTTCAGAACCTCCACAGTACACAGTGTTACCTCCCCTCGGCCTGTGTCCCGGCGCACGCGTCTCCCCTCAACCACTCCCCTCTGGCCTGTATCCTCCACGTGTCGCAGGAGCCAGCCGCCCTGCTTGTAGTGACGCTGGCAGCCTTGTTATCAAAGATTCAGTGAACTGAGCCAGTGAATTTAGCTGATAGGTTCCCCCGCCCCGGCAGGACTTATGCTAACCCCACCAGAATCAACTCACCCTACAGTTTCACTTTCATAAAATTTTCACTCGGCTTCCTCTGATTTGGACGAGGGTTGTGAACAGTAAACAAGAGGAGCTGATGGGGCTTTTTTGTTCCCTTGCATTTATGTAAATATATATATATATATATATATATATATATATATATATATATATATATATATATATATATATATATATATATATGTGTGTGTGTGTGTGTGTGTGTGTGTGTGTGTGTGTGTGTGTGTGTGTGTGTGTGAATGTACGGATATTCGAGTCTGGTGGTCCCAAAGTTTGTTGGGACCCTTTGCCTTGAAGAAGAATATATGCAGCACCTGGGGGAAGCCTTGCTAGGTTTCCCCCATGTTCTCTTGTACATATTGTCTTCTCCTACTCCCTCCTTTAGTATTGTCATTATATATTTGATTTCAATATTATTTAAAAAAAAAGGAGTTATAAACTTGGTTACACACGAGGTACAAAATTTTTCTTGCAGGTTGTCGAATTCCTCCAGCTCCTCAGATGGCTGACAGGAACCCTGAATTATTATTATTATTATTATTATTATTATTATAATACTTTTAGTATTATATTTTTAAATATTTGTCCTTATGAAATGATACCGTTTTCTGTTGCATTACATATAATTTTAAGTCTTTCTTTTAACTTTGATCCAAAACTAACACAGAAATTGGGTTAACCCTAACCTAACCTATCCTAACGTAACCTAATATAACCTAACATAACTTGTTCATACAACTTATATAATAGATTATTATTGTTAGAAAAGACTGAATCTGGAAAGAAATATTTTAATATAGATCCAAAATCATTCACCTAGTTAGGCAAATCGAACCATGCATACAAGGCCAAGTAGTGTGGTTCTGGCAGTTAGGCACGACATATATAGAGAGAGAGAGAAAGAGAGGCAGGCAGACAGACAGAGAGAAAGAAAAAGAGAGACAGAGAGAGAAGGGAAGGGAACTATAAGGTGAAAGTGCCAAGCCATTACGACTATATAGCACTGAGAAACGATCATGTTAATGATTTGGGATGGAACGGGGGATGGGGAGGGGGAATGAATGGTGCCTAACCACTTATGGACGGTCGGGGATCGAACACCAACCTGCATGACGTCGCTCTAAAACCGTCCAGCCCAAGTGGTTGAGCGAGACAGAGAGAGAGAGAGAGAGAGAGAGAGAGAGAGAGAGAGAGACAGAGAGAGAGAGAGAGACAGAGAGACAGAGAGAGACAGAGAGAGAGACAGAGAGAGAGAGAGAGAGAGAGAGAGAGAGAGAGAGAGAGAGAGAGAGAGAGAGAGAGACAGAGAGAGAGACAGAGAGAGAGAGAGAGAGAGAGAGAGAGAGACAGAGAGAGAGACAGAGAGAGAGAGAGAGAGAGAGAGAGAGAGAGAGAGAGAGAGAGAGAGAGAGAGAGAGAGAGAGAGAGAGAGAGAGAGAGAGAGAGAGAGAGAGAACCGAGGACAGTCACCTGAGAACAGAGAACATAACTACACTCAAAAATGATATATATAAGGCTTAACATAAACAGAACAGTGGCTCAGAGGGGAATTACACGAGGGGAGAGAAAGAGCACACACTGCAGAACAAGAACTGCAAGAACTGAGAACACTGCAGAACATCTCCAACTAACGTACTGAACAGCATCAAGGCACGTATATACGTACATGTAGTTAGCATATATAAAATTATGTATTCCAACTACACAGGTTAAGTACTGCGCGACATCCTGTAGAGTAAGACTTCACTCTCAATTATTCAGTGAATCAGTAATCTAATCAAATAAACCAATTTTAATTTCAATAATGAAATTTCTCAATTAATAGCATATTAAAAATTATATACAAACATAGTTTTGTAGGGAATACATTATACAGTAAGCAACTAATATAATTAAATAATTCATAAGCAACTAATATAATAAAATAATTCATCAATTAATAATATATCAATTGGCTATTAGAATAATCAGTCATTCAACAGCACAATAAATATATAAAATAATCACATATTCATTTAATCAGACATCCACTTAAATCAACTATAAATGTGATTACTTAACTAATCAACTAATTAACAGTAGAGTATCTGATCCAATTATCCAAGCAATTAATCACAAATTCAATCAATAACATAAGCGATCACCAGTTTAGTCATGTTTGAATGACTTCAACCAACCCAGCAAGCTGTCAGGCAGGGAAGGCGTCTGGCAGAGTACCAATTTCTTCACAAAAAAGTGTCAAAAAGTTTCTCAAAGTGTCATAAATGTGCGTGTCCGTGCCGGAATCCATGTTCGTGGTAGTGTCCGTGTCCGTGTATGTATACGTGTATGCGTGTATACGTGAGCGTGAGAATGTGAGCTTGAAACCACTGAATTTTTTTTCAGGCAAATTTTGGCGCGGGTCCTAGACCTCTGGCTGGCCCACTAAGTGTTGTTTGTTTCTGTTTTACTTAAGCGTCGATGCCATCTATCGTTCTTAAATTCTTTTAAGTGCCTTGGAACCAATTATTGTCTATTTCGGGTTTTATCTCTCATACAGAATATGTAAAAAAAGCAATAAAAACAAAAGAAAAAGACAAATTAACAGTTGGAAAAACAAAAGAAAGAATATAGTTACAATAAAGGAAAGAGAAGTTCTCGGAAAACACTGAATCACATAATACAGGACCCATTAATTAAGTATAATTGTGTTTATCCATTTTAGTGGGTTTTATTTAGCAGTAAACTCACAGCTGTCATCATGTGATTAGCCACATTAGGTGTTGTTGATGGAGTTGAACTGGACAATAAGTATCATTAGCCGTGCCAGTCTGCCACGGAGCTCTCGTCATTGTTAGGTAATGAGGCAGGTAATGATGGCCGGTAATTATTTCAAGTAATGTGGTCCGGTGATGAGGATAGTTAATGAGAGCAGGTAATGATAGGTAACGAGGGCAGGTAATGATGGTGGTGGTGGTAATAAGGGCAGGTAATGATGGTGGTGGTGGTAATAAGGGCAGGTAATGATGGTGGTGGTGGTAATAAGGGCAGGTAATGATGGTGGTGGTGGTAATAAGGGCAGGTAATGAGGGCACGTATTCCAGGCAGGTAACGTGGGCCGATAATGAGGATAGGTAATTTAGTTAGGTAATGAGGTGAGGTAATTAGGGCAGGTAATGAAGGCAGGTATTAAGGGCAGGTAATGAAGGCAGGTATTAAGGGCAGGTAATGAGGGCAGGTATTAAGGGCAGGTAATGAAGACAGGTATTAAGGGCAGGTAATGAAGGCAGGTATTAAGGGCAGGTAATGAGGGCAGGTATTAAGGGCAGGTAATGAAGGCAGGTATTAAGGGCAGGTAATGAGGGCAGGTATTAAGGGCAGGTAATGAGGGCAGGTAATGTTTATGGTCCATTTGTCATTATATTACTGGAATTAAAATAACATCACATGAGTTCTTCTTTTTATACAAGGACTTGCTTACACACACACACACACACACACACACACACACACACACACACACACACACACACACACACACACAGGAGGCAACAAGATGACCTGGATAGACTGAGTGAATGGTCCAACAAATGGCTGTTGAAGTTCAACCCGAGTAAATGCAAAGTAATGAAACTAGGCAGTGGAAACAGGAGACCAGGCACAGGATACAGAATAGGAGATGAAGTACTTAATGAAACAGACAGAGAGAAAGATCTTGGAGTTGATATCACACCAAACCTGTCTCCTGAAGCCCACATATAGAGAATAACGTCTGCGGCATATGCGAGGTTGGCTAACATCAGAACGGCGTTCAGGAACCTGTGTAAGGAATCATTCAGAATCTTGTACACCACATATGTAAGACCAATCCTGGAGTATGCGGCCCCAGCATGGAGCCCGTACCTTGTCAAGCACAAGACGAAGCTGGAAAAAGTCCAAAGGTATGCTACTAGACTAGTTCCAGAACTAAGAGGCATGAGTTATGAGGAAAGGCTGCGGGAAATGCACCTTACGACACTGGAAGACAGAACAGTAAGGGGGGACATGATCACAACCAACAAAATCCTCAGGGGAATCGACCGGGTAAACAAGGATCAACTATTCAACACTGGTGGGACGCGAACAAGGGGACACAGGTGGAAGCTGAGTACCCAAATGAGCCACAGAGACGTTAGAAAGAACTTTTTCAGTGTCAGAGTAGTTAGTAAATGGAATGCACTAGGAAGTGATGTGGTGGAGGCTGACTCCATACACAGTTTCAAATGTAGATATGATAGAGCCCAATAGGCTCAGGAATCTGTACACCAGATGATTGTCGGTTGAGAGGCGGGACCAAAGAGCCAGAGCTCAACCCCCGCAAGCACAATTAGGTGAGTACAATTAGGTGAGTACACACACACACACACACACACACGCAGTGTGTGTGTTACAGGAGGTATGACGGCTGAGTTGACATCGCTCGGGATTCGTAGTCGTAGGGTCCGGGATCGATCCTCGGCAGAGGCAGAAACAAATGGGCAGAGTTTCATTCACTCTGATGCGCCTGTTCACCTAGCAGCAAATTGGTACCTAGGAGTTAGACACCTGCAACGGGCTGCTTCTGGGGGAAAGGGGAATCAGTTGATTGACAGTTGAGAGGCGGGCCCAAAGAGCCACAACTCAACCCCCGTAAGCACAACTAGGTGAGTACAACTAGGTGA